ATGTTTCTACCAGGTACTTAATGCTAGCTCAGAACCAATAAACACTAATTAACAAATAATTTTCTCCCAGACTAAATGTTTTGTGTCTGTGGTTTTGGTGTAAGTTGTTTTTGTGCGTCGTACAGATCTTGGTAAATGTTTTGTTATAAATTAGGCCATTAGTTTTCTCGTTTGAATTGTATTACATTTTGTCATGTTGGGGCCTTTTATATCCCATTATACGGCATGGGCTTTTGCTCATTGTTGAGGGCCGTATGGTGACCTATAATTGCCTTTATCCACTTATTAAAGTAGGGTAACAGTAGTATACCGCTATTCGAAATTCATAAATCGATTGAGAGAAAAACAAATCCGGGTTACAAACTAAAACTAAGGGAAGCACATCAAATATAAGAGGAAAACAACGACACAACAGAAACTCAACACTAAAATGCAACACACACAGAAACGAACTATAATATAACAATGGCCATATTCCTGACTTAGTACAGGACATTTTAAGAAAAAAAGGTGGGTTGAACCTGGTTTTGTGGCTAGCCAAACCTCCCGCTTTTATGGCAATGTTAAAGCTCTTCTTTGCATCATACCACATCCCCTTATATATAAAGTATCAATCAGTTCACATGTATGTCATAGAATTATAAACTGTTTGTTACAATTATAAAACAAGACAGAATGATCATACAAGTCTTAAGGTGTGAAAATGTTTCCTTTGTCTAAAACATTCTAATCAGACTTATCTCTAAATGAAAACATTGCTTCATGGTAAGATAGTAAACTAAGCATTTTACTATTGATTAACAAAATTAAAAATAAAATCTGCATCGACGAATACTATATTTAAAGCGAAATTGAATCTATATTCTTTTTTATGAACGGTTTCATTCCACATTGAAGAGTATTTTGATTAACAATGAAGAGTTATACTACCTGTTAGAAGAACTTTATTTGATGCAAGTATGGCAAGAATTGACGATCCCAGTTTGCAAAAGCAGCATTTGTTGGAGCAAATACAGTCAATCCACCTGTCAATTAAGAAAAACAGTTTAAAAATTTTTTTTACAAGTATATACATTTTGGGTATTAGCAATGTTCGGTGATAATATTTATTCTTAATTTTGTGTATGCAAAATGCCTACATATCCTTAAATTTGTATAATTAAGTAGCTCGTTTTGATTTCCTGTTACATAGCTTATAGAATTATTGGTAATTACATTGATCCTACCCAAATATGAAAATAACATCAAATCATGTGTTGAATTTCTATGTTTTAGCACGTTTTTGACCGTTTAGAGTGTTTAGGTGAACGCTTTTGAAAGTATTACCCGGATGTATTTGATTGTGAAACACTAAAGACTAAAGATTATAATAACAGAAACTGCCAATGACTGTCACAACAGGTAGGCATTTTACATGGTTTACAAAATTGTTTCACACTTAACTTCCATATTTGTAAAGTGTTGGAATTATATGAAAACGATGAAAACCACTCTCAATTGTTTAAACTGTTTGGAGAATATGTTAAAGGAAATGCCCAGTGAATAATGGCATTGATATTTTAAGTTGCAGTTTAGCGCATTTGTTAGTTTTTTATTCTGAAAAAAATTTAAAAAAATCCCCAAAAAAGGAGATAACAAAATAATAAACATTATCAAAATAATGTGGTGATAATACCATTTTAAAATAAATTTTGTTGTCTTTTTGGAGCTAATTAATGTTTATCCCTACATTGCATAATATAACAAACACATTGATCAATAAAAAATCAAACTAGTTCTAGCTCAGAGTCTTATGACAGTTATGCCTAAATCTGTATACCTTTTAACGCAGTTGCAAGTCCGGCGTTTTGAACTTGAGTCAATACAGTACTGAGATCGCTGTTTCCGACAACTAGATCAACATTTTTGCCTTTTGGAGATATCATGACCTTTTTAATGACATGGACAACTCCATTGGATGCCGAGAGGTCAAATTTAGAGATTTTAGAACCTTCAATAGTTACAGCTTAAAATAGTTAAACAAATATGAAAAGTGTGACACAAACTCGCTCTCCCTGAATAACAAGTATACAAAAATGCTCAATACTTTGTTCAGTCAATAGATAGACTGATATAATTGACGTTTATATATGATTTTATAAAAATAATTACAATGTTTTTTATGACAATTTTTGACATAAACAATAAAAATGAATTAAAATATTTCTCTATTTAAAACACTTACATGATTGTGTGAGTATGTATTAAATCTAATTTTTGTTCCTGCTAAGGTTTCGAACTGAAGTTCATTTTTGACGGCTGAACTTGGAATTGCACCTTTGAAAATGTGGTATTTCAGGATATTTGCTAAATCACTTGTCTCAGTGAGAAGTTCTGCGACAGTTGCCTTTTTCTCAATATGGCCATACTGACTGATTACACAATAGAAATGGTTCCAAAAAACTTGTAGTTTTTGTAGTCTAATTAAAAATACATGTGTGGGAAATGCTCAGAAAGCGGTAACTTGATCGTTTATACAGGACGAGAACAAGTGATCATGATAAACCTACAAATCAAGTCAAAGGTTTAAGAAACAGAGGACCCAGTTATAGGAATTTGTTTGCCTATGAGAAAAGACAAAACACAGAAGGCGTTATAACATGCAAAGATACCACTTTCTTCAAAAATTGAACAAAGACTGATAATTTCCTTCAGCGTAATAATATACTGCTTTTAAATTGTATGAACAAAACGAAGTAATACATAAAAGGTTTTTGCTAATTCAAAATTACATAGAGACCTTAGTTAATGCGATTGGTCTGCATGAGATATATCAAATACGAGGGATTGATTCACATGCATAGAAGTCATGTCTTTTTTTCCCTTTCTCTTTTTCTTGTACTCAATCTTATCCTTTAATATTATAATATCAGAATTTTTTTTTTTGCATTCTTTAAAAAGATATACTGTGACTGCATCTTACGACCTTTACGACAGATAATTTAGCTAATCTGCAATCAATTCCATCTTCATGGCTAATATAGCATGTACTGTGTTACAACTCTAGGTTGTACTGACGAGGAAAGGAAACACGAGTCCACCGAAAGCTGATTTTTTTATTTCAGTCAAGGTGACCGTGTGGTATAGAGCGCTGGACACAGTGCAGGCGGTGTTGTCACGATATCCCAATAGAATGAGTTCAAATCCCGGCGAGGGAAGAACAAAAATTTGCTTCCGCTTTTGCAGATTTAACATTGTTGTGCTGATATTTAGAGTAACATGAATATAATATGTGTTTTCAGCCGTGTATCACTGGTGATTCAATGGATGTATCTGTTGAAGAGTTGTCACTTGTTTAGACGTACTTATATATATATATATAAACGCCCTAAAAACCGTAATAAACAACACCAATATAAAAAAATGGAAACATTAAATGTAATTATCTATAAATATTTTGGATAACAGATATCCTTAATCAGTATGATTATGATGTAAAATTAATCATAACAATCTATTCTGATTTAACTATAACAATCTTGATATTTATACAATTAAAACTGAACACAAAAACGCTTGTACAATTCTAAAATTAAAAAAAATGACGTAGGTTATATAGGTATATATAATATACCTATATAACTGCATAGATATGCTTCTAATAATAATAGTAATGTGCGATATGAACTGGTGCATTTCTAAAATTTTTAAAGCAGACGACAATTAAGATGTTACAACAAGGACTGCGTGGAAATACATTCACAATGAACAGCATTCTCAAAATGTATAATATTTATATAAGGTAACTGAAGGCTACTGTCTGAAATCAAATCTATCTCCATGAACTTACTGTGAGGTTAAACAATATTTATAGTAAATAGTACAAGAGCACTATACGCATACTCTATACTGTTATTACCAATACTACCTTTCAATGCTTTATGTCTATTTCGGAATGCAGCCTCATAAATAAACGTTTGAAACGGAAAAGTAAAACATTTGACCGTTCCGATCTACCCATGTTTCTTGTCTTCCAGAATTATGAAATTGTATTCAAAATCGTACGAATTAACCCATCATCTATTCTTTGATTTTGTAAATCATAAATATTTGTAATTCATATACAAGTTTGATAAACTTCAAGCATGGAAATCACTAGTGAGCGACCATTGTTGAAAATAGATAAAATTTTCATCCATGCAAATGTTAAAGATGAAGGTATAATTATATATAATTTTCGCGTTCGAAAGGGTTGTAGGTACAAACGACAACATCACATTAAGTCTTTAAAATTACACCTTCATGCATTAAACATATTATTTGATTTGATTTTTTCATAATAATCCCATTGAAGAAACGCATCCAGCTTAGTTTCAAACCGTCCCTACAACATCTTATTTACACATTTTAGTTTTCTAAAGATACATGTTTCACTGCTGTAATACACATGCAGCTATCAATTAAAAATATTGTGCCTTTAAAATAAATATTAATCCCATCCACTATGTGGGACTTCTACTATATAGCGATAACAAGCCTATGCTTATGTCCAGTAAAATATTATGAAAACCCGTGCCTTCCGAAACGTAACTTGATTTATGACAAAACCCGCCACCTGTGTTGAAGAAAATCATATTTTCTCAACAAAGTTTGAGATATATTTCTAATATCCTATAACTTTAATTGTATCAAAATATCTTAAATGAATAAAAATGTATACTCAGATGGATTGGCGATTATTAGTATGAAAAATATGGATTTATCTGTTCTCCTGAAACAGATTATGACCAAGTATTGTATATGTTAACGTGTGAAACTTTAGATACAAACTGAGTCACCTTTGAATTATGTAAAATTTGATAATGAAGTTATGTCTCAAAAATGTCTCACGTTTTACTTAGTGTGGTCAATATCTTATCATTTCAAAATGACCATGGAATTCCTACGTAGTCAATGAACCAACCCTACTATAAATTAAACAAAACTTATTGATGAATTTCATTTTAATTCTGCAGTTTTGATTCAAAGGTCTTAACATGTTTAGGTATTGTTGCATCTTTCTCGCTGTCCATTGTGTTTTAGGTGGTAACCTGGTCGAGGTGCTCCAAGCTAATGGCGAGTCAAGACTGATCCAGTATGCGACAGCCTGTGGATTAGCTGATACAATATTAGGAGGTAAAATAAATATATCAATATACTAGTACATAAAATATGTGTTAATATGTGTGTGCGAGAGTTGATAAGGCAGATTTTTACGAAGCATCGTATAAAGTAAAAATAAGTCATATGAAATTTGCATTACAGCAATTGATAGGTTCTACTACTATAAAATTCGTCAAATATTAATAATATCAATAATAGTGTAAATTAGAGTTGACCTCGACCGCAAGGACATATTTTTTTAAGAAGTACAGCATTAGCACATTAACAAAATTGAAATAAGCCAGATTGTTCTTCCACGCGCTTCAAATCTCATTTAAAATAGTCAAAAACCAAGAAATTTCAACAAACAATGTCTTACTGAGCTTTTTGTGATGTCATAACTTATTTAATGTGAAGCCATAACTTTTGAAGTTTTTAGTTTTGCCTTGTCTCATTTTCGATACTGACATGAATAAGAATCTAATACATGAGATTTAGCTAACTATAAAGCTAGTTTTAATTGACCACTTTCTTCTGAAAATGCATCTACAAAGTTAAGAATATGACAGGTGTTTAGTTTTGTTGAATGATATAGTCGAGCGTTCGATTTGTAAGGTTTTAACCCACCATTTTTTTTTTTCTTAAAATGTCTTGTACCAAGTCAGGAATATGGCAATTGTTATCACATAGTCCGTTTTTATGTATGTTGACGTTTGTTTTTGTAGCAGTTCAGTGTTTCTGTTGTTCCATTTTGTGTCCTCTTATAGTTGATGTGTTTCCCTCAGTTTTGTTTTGTGACCCAGATTTGTTTCAGTTAAATCGATTTATGACTATTGAACAGCGGTATACTACTATTGCCTTTTTTTGTAGACTATAACCCTTTTTGAATTTTCCTTTGAGTTTGGTATTTTTGTTAGTTCGTTTTTAATGCATTGTATTACAAAAAAAAAGTTTAGTGAAATCAATATGTCCTATTGTCTATTGACAAATAAAGTTCAGAATAGAATGAATGATGAGCACATGAGTTTGCCTTCAGTTGGTTTGCTTTGATTTTGGTTGAAATCCGGTTTTCAATTTGTCAACTGTTGTGTGTAATTTAGTCTTATCAACTATGATTTTGACTGAATCTACTTTGATATTTTTACTCTTGTTATCCGTCTTTCTGTTATGGTTTTTAATTGTATCCCTCTTGTTGTCTGTCTGTCTATGTTTTTGCAGTTATCCCTTGTTGTCCGTCTGTCTCCTATGGCTTGTGTTTGAATGTCTTGTTATCATTCATTCTACTATGGGTTTTGATTGTTTCTACTGTTGCCAGTCTTTCTACTGTCATTTTGTTTGCCATTCGTTGTAGTCCTTTTGCTTTTCTACAGAAATTAAGTTTCTTGCTAAATTAGTTAAAACTTTGTACAAGTGGTCTAGTTGATATTGTAAATTTTTACTGTTTGCATAACACGAGAAAAATTGCTACTTAATTATTTTTCAAGAAACTCTATTCTAGATTGTAATTTTCTTTCAGGAACATACACCATCTTTGCACCCACAAATGCTGCATTTGATGCACTTGGAACCGAACAAGAACTCCTTTCTGATAAAAATGTTCTTACCACTATATTACTGTATCATCTGACTAATGGAGTTATACGGAGCACAGATGCGCGGAATGAGCTAACAGTTGAATCGGTTGCCGGACTGAAAGTCAGATTCAATATTTACCAGCATAACAAAGTAAGTGCAATCCGTTTATAAGGTTATTGTCTATGTTTTAAATTTTATGCAGACTGGGATTGCAATGTGTATGGAGTTTATCTGTATTTTGAAATGAAAACTTGATCTATTGCTACACATTATTTATTCTCTCTAGCTTTGGGAACCATTATATGTACATATAAGACTGATCATTGTCTACTTTTTACAGTAAAATGTGAGTCGCATTTATATCTTTATTATGAGCAATTAACTTCTTGATTTTATAGACTTTTTCCCGTATACAAATATATTTGTCCTGCTTTGCATAACTTTACAAATGATTACTCCGAAACTTGTATTATTTCATCTTTCATAAAGGCAGTTACAGTTGAAGGTGCCAAAATTTCAAAGTTTGACCTGAATGCTTCGAACGGAATCGTCCATGTCATTGAGAAAGTAATGATACCACCTACCGGAGGAATTGTCGAACTCGTATCAGGGAACAAAGATCTAAGCACATTATTGTCATTAGTCCAGAAAGCAAATATTACAGGAATTATTCAACGTTAGTATCGTGTGTTTAGTATAAGGTTTTCCTTTTTACAACTTACGTTTTACTTGTATATAATAAGATTTTACGTACATAAAATTAAAAAAAAATACTCCAAGCAAAAAAAAAAAAAAAAAATAACTAGTCCATAAAAACACATTCCTCTAAAAAAAAAAACATAAATAAACAAAAAAGCATTGATTCCTATAACTTTGTTTGTTGTGTTTGTCCTAAACTTCTTGGAATGAAATGTATTTACATGATATTGTTTAAGCACGGAATGCAAACACAAAAAGAATGTTTTTTTTTCAATGAATCATAATAATTTCTTAATCATGATAATCGCTTTGCATTGTCAATGTCAGCTTCATTTTTACACACAGGTGATCCATTAACAGTATTTGCACCAACAAATGCTGCATTTTCAAGATTATCTGCAAATGTTTTAAGCAGGTTAAATAGTGATACAGCTCTACTAAAAGGTAAATATGAATACATGTAGATGTAGAATAAACGTAATTGTTAATTAGCAACTCCATGTATTCCTTATTTAATTTTGTGGATAGGATTTTATATGGAGACTAAATTTCAGACATACACATAGCTTATGTAACTTGGTGAAGTTGAATGTAGAATTGTAATCTTTAGTTGATACAAATTAAAAAGGCTTCATATATTAATTCATATACAGTGCCTAAGTCTTTCCAATATAATCTAGATTAACGTACTAGCATTTGTTTGCACTAAACGAGTCAATTTAAAAGGTTTTTGGCTTCACATATAGGTAACTGCAAAAACGTTTATTTGTCTACTAAAGATGTTTAATCTATATATTTTAAAAGGACATTCAAAACTCTTATGTCGAACAGATACTAGAAAACGCCATGGCAAAACACCGCGAAATGCAATTGATTCAACAAAACACTGCATAGAAAACTACAAACTGATCCTTGTAAACCCCACTTAACAGCGATATGATCTCTTGTGCTTAGGGAGGTTTTGCAGATGAAAGAACAAGACGATATAAACTTTTTAGTAATATATTTTCTGTTTGTTTCTATTATTCGTCCTCTATACTTTTATATCTTAAAGGTTTTAGTCGGTTTTTATGTTTTTTTTTTTTTGTTTCTTTGATATCATTTAATATCAACGATAAAGGCATATATGATATCACCGTACCTACAACAGCACACATTGAATCCTGACTATTTGTATTACAGAGGTTTTGGAATATCATTTAGTACCACATACAGAGTATTCACCTGGTTTATATAACAGAGAATATCTGCGAACGTTAGATGCAAAGAGGGATGTTATTCGTTTAAGTGTGTCAGGTGAGCTTTAATTAATATAACGGAAGTGAAATATTCCGGTTAATTCCGCAATTTGATTGGTTCCATAAACGGGAGATATGATTTCATATTGTATGTGAAGGGAAACAAAGATGAAAATGAAGATACTGTCGAAATCCAGACAAGATGTACTATTATTGTAATTCTAGCTGCACATGGAATATGGGCTCATATTCACTGTCAATATCCTATATCCCTTCCGCCTTGTGGTTCAGGAGATAGAAAACACTATACGATCTCATATCCCCTGTGAAGATAAAAAATAACATATAATATTAAAAAAAGTTGAGATCAATTAAGATAAGATTTTCTTAAATAAGTAACAACCTCCATATATCTCGTTCTGAAACAGGATCTTTGAATTTAGAAGTATTCTAGTTGGAAACAAATGCACTACATTTTGTGAATATCGATAATGGAATGAACTCAAGGACTAAAATTTTTAGACTTTTAAACGTAATACTAGTAGTAAAGGAAAACTTTCATAGTTTTTGTGTACATAGGTTACACAAATGAAAAATATTTCAGCATATTTTGGAGTCTTTCCATATTATTAGTCCCGATCATACCGGAAGTTTCTTCGATTTCAAAACCTAGAGTCTGTTAATTTTTATATTCATATCAACGGTTTCAATTTATCCCATTTACGTGCACTTTCAGTGCTTTAACAGATCTTCAGGAAGGAATTGTATGCATAAGGCTTTTGTATAAACTAGTACATTTATTCTAACTCACGTTCATACCTAGTACCAACTAAATATTCAAACGCGGAACATGAACTGAATATATTGCAACTTTAGATACTTTAGACATTTGAGCAGAGATAAAACTTTTGTATAAAACTTTAAATTTATAAATATATATTTCATATATGTGTGGCCTCGGTGATCGAGTGACACTTCTGTATCACTGGAAAGTCAACACTGAGGTTGTAAGTTCGAACCCCGCACGGGGCAGATGCACTCAACTCCAATCTTGATTGACTAGAATTGTCAGTTTATATCGCGAATATGTAAAACTTGGATTTCCTAACTTAACTGCCTCAAGTGATGTTGAAAATCGTGAAATCATATCGCCGCGAAATGGGCTAGAAAGGGCTAAACGCGAAATAAAGTATCCGCGAAAAATAAGTTGGTTTACAGTATACATTTTATTTTACAGGAGGAGGAGTGTCAGTAAACTCATATGGGCACGTTTTAAAAGCTGATATTCCAGCTACAAATGGTGTTGTTCACTTAATTGATCATGTACTCATCCCACTCCGATATTGGCGTACGTTTGGCTTTGGAAAATAATTTATAACTGACAACAGTGTGCTGGTTACACTTTGATATGTACATATGTAATGTATGTAAATACATTTTATTTATACTTACGTATACTATTATACTATGTATGCAATGTCGTCATTATGTCATAATTAAAATTTAAATGTAAGTCAATATGTATTTCATTTAAGTCTTCCTAGATGTCTGCATATACAGGTTTTAAAATATAGCACTCTGTAAGCTATATCTTACAATATAAATGTTTTTGGTGGGTTTCGTGTTGCTAAATCCTTTTTTTTTCTATGTTGTGTTTTGTGTATCATTGATTTTCTGTTTGTCTTTTTCTATTGTAGCCATGGCGTTGTCAGTTTGTGTTTTGGCCTCTGAGTTCGGATGTCTCTTTGGTATCTTTCGCCCCTCATTGAAGGAAACAAAAACAGTAATTTACCAAAGAGTTTCAAATATGATTATAATAAGTAATTATGTCATAGGTTATGCACATTTTAAGGTTTTTCTTCTCGTAAAACACACCGAGTGGTGTCAGGATTGATCAAATTAAAGACCGACCGTAGGAAGGTCTCAAATTATGTTCTACGACAAGAAAAACCTTAAAATATGCATTATCTGACATATATACTGTTCAGGTTTTAAAACGCCCTATGGCTCATTTAGAATGTGAAAGGAAATTCACTAATTAATCTAAATATAAACGTTAGAAATCATTATCTAGATACAATCAAACTATTGCTGTAACTGCATGAAATAAGACACAAATGAATTGTTACCACCCGATAACAGCATATAAAATACAATTCACTTTGTAAGTGATTTATTGTGTCAACTTAGTTTATGGAAGGGGGTGCTATGTTGTTGTTTTTTTCTATTTATAATGACATTTTTATCGCGGAAAAGTGATTATTTTTTCAGCAATTTTTAACGAACGATCAATTCAGAATTATTTTCTTTCGAATGGCAATACATTTTTTTCAAAACAAGGAATAAGGGCCCGTATGCATTAAATCACATAAGTTTAGATATCCAATCGTAATTCTAATTTATCGTAGAAATACGTCCGCTTGGAATATTCTTAACTTAAGTAGCTTCATTCATACGGCCTCATAATTTAATTCTATACTCCACCGACCCCTTTGTGAGGTACGTGGCTGTAATTCCAAAGAATATTAGAATATTTCATCAGTTAATACTTTGATACAGTAAAAGGAATGTATATATGTAAAAAGTTACGAACTGACACGACGACAGCACATATTCGTGATACATGTACATGTAACACGAAAACGAATATCAATACATATAGGTCTCAGTATGATTTGCTATTCAGTGTGAATCAATTAGATTTTCAAAATCCTTAACACGAATGTGTTAAATCTGGCTTGTTTTAAAAGTATTATGAAATTTTTTACATTAAAATTCATCTCACAAAATGGAAGTATCCCTTTATTGTTGCGATAAATTGTCAAAACAATACAATATTTGTTTTTAAAGTTAAAATGCGCGTCAATGGCGATTTTTTGTTTAACCTTTCAAAGAAGAAACTTAAAGAAATCCCCTATTGGCAACACCAAACTATCAAACGAATTAAATGCTGAAGTAAATTATAATATGCATTTTTATCAAGGGAAATAATGACCTCACACATGTCATTATTTTATGCCTTGAAGCATATTTCATTGGAATATGGTATCGTCCCAGTTGATTCTAAGAAAAAATGAGTTTTTTATTAACAATATTTTTGTTAAAATTTGAGGGAGACTTTTTCAACAAATTGTCGGCATTCCTACGGGAACGAACTGTGCGTCTCTGCTTGCAGACCTCTTCTTATTTTAATATAATTCGGAGTTCCTTCAGACACTTGTAAAAAAACAAGAAGATCAAAAAGTAAGATCATTTAACTTCACATTCATATATATCTTTGATGTTCTTCAACAATCCAATTTTTTCTGATTGGGTTCATATAATATGTCCTAAAAAAATAGACATTAAAAACAGCAGACACTAATTTCTCTATCTCATTCGTAGACTTATCGTTTCATCTCGGCCTCAAGTAACTGTTCTACAACTAATCTCTCAGTGTTTTTAACAAGTTCCTTAACTACTATCAAAGAGTTTATCATAAACTATTGTAGTAAAAAATATGAAAATAGTGGAATTAACTATTTTTGGAGTGTAAAAAATTCTTTGGATGTTTTAGATAAATTACGTGCTTTTGATGGTCCTTTTGATTCTGTTGACAGTTTTGACTTTTCTACTCTTTACACTACACTTCCACACAGTCTTATCTAACAAAAAAATGACTATTTAATTAAATGGTCGTTTGGTAAATCTGAATGCAAATGTATTTACTGCAACTCTTTTAAAGCCTTTTTCTCTAATGAGAAAGGTAAATATGCTAGATATACTTACTGGAGGTGTGATGAGACGAGTGAAGCTGTTATTTTTCTCCTTGATAATATTTATGTACGTTTTGGCAGCAAAGTTTATCGACAGGTTGTAGGTATTCCTATGGGCACTAATTGAACCCCTTTAATAACAGACTTGTTTTTGTACTGTTATGAATCACAGTTTATGACCAAACTCAGTAAAGACCCGTCTAAATTGCATTTAAGTGATAAATTCAACAACACTTACCGTTATCTTGATGTTTTTTTTAAGTAATCAAGAATTTTCTCAATATACTGCCGAAATTTACCCAAAGGAACTTACTTTAAATAAATCAAATTTAAACGGTAACAACTGTCCTTTCCTAGATTTAGATATTTCGGTTTTACACGGGAAACTCCACACTAAAATTTACGACAAAAGGGACGATTTTTCGTTCCCTATTGTTAATTTTCCCTTTTTAGATGGTGATGTTCCTTTGGCACCATCTTACGGTATTTATATTTCACAACTCTTTCGCTATGCCCGTGTCTGTTGTGACATTTTTTATTTTAATGAACGTAATCTATGTATTACTGGTAAATTATTAAGCCAGGGATTTCGTTACCACAAATTACTTAAAACCTTTCAGTAACTGCGAGTACTCTCAGATCTCTACTTAGTGTCTTTTTGTTGTTTGGATGTACAAGTACCCGGCCACGTCCACTTGTATTTGTAGTATTTGTATTTTTATCCATCTGATGAGTTAAGCCTCTTTCAACTGAGTTTTATAGTTCGTTCTTATGTTGTACTGTTACACTACTGTCCAAGGTTAAGGGGAGGGTTGAGATCCCGCTAACATGTTTAACCCCGCCACATTCTGTATGTATGTGCCTGTCCCAAGTCAGGAGCCTGTAATTCAGTGGTTGTCGTTTGTTTATGTGTTACATATTTGTTTTTCGTTCATTTTTTGTACATAAATTAGGCCGTTAGTTTTCTCGTTTGAATTGTTTTACATTGTCATTTCGGGGCCTTTTATAGCTGACTGTGCGGTATGGGCTTTGCTCATTGTTGAAGGCCGTACGGTGACATATAGTTGTTAATTTCTGTGTCATTTGGTCTCTTGTGGAGAGTTGTCCCATTGGCAATCATACCACATCTTCTTTTTTATAATTATACCTCGAATTTGACATAAGCGGTCATTTTAGTACCATTATCTGCTGTTGTCTGTTCTGTGGTCGGGTTGTTGTCTCTTTGACACATTCCCCATTTCCATTCTCAATTTTATCTATGAAAAACAAGACGATTTTCATTTTAAAATTATCAATTTCCTCCACCTTAGTCATGTTAGTAGTAATAAACCAACAGTATGGCATGCATGGGAAATACATTTGCTAACCAATTCGGTATTCAAGAGCATGCAGCTGCATCATCATCTTAACAACGTGTAATATTGTTCTTTCATTTGTCTTTGTTCTATTATTAATATTACTTTTACTGTTTGGTTTGTTTTCTGTGATATCCATTTGACGTGGCTAGGTACTTATACATCCCGTCAATGTGTTTGTATTATCTTTAATTTTTACTGGTGTGTTTTGTATATGCGACTTTTTGTGTTTCTGTGGTTCTTATAACGTGACTCTGTACTTTAAAAGATCCCGTCATTATGTTATTGTTCTATTATATGTCATTATGTTATTGTTCTATTATAAATTTGAAAATACTTTGAACGACAAACGACAAATTTATTTTACTCGCGTAGTAGTATTTACCATATGTGGATTCTTAAGGGTTCTGAAGAACTTCTGGACAATTATAAATCTCGGTCTATTTCTGAAATTAATTCTAACATAACTTTTGATTTTTTAACCCTGTATACCAACATTCCCCATGTGAAATTATAAAATTGTTTTGAATAGACATTGAATGACAAACTTTTTTCTTATGTGACGTTTACATTTTCTGACGTCAGACACGCGAAGCAATGAATGTGGGTCTTAATTTGATAGATGCTTTTGTGCTTTTTTTGTAAATAATTGTTTGTTTTGATATTGTAACACAGTGATGACTGCTGTACCCATATTTTGACTATTTTATTTATAATGTCTGTTTTGTTCACGCATCGTTGTAAATATAACGAAATTTGATAAGACTGTCGTACAAGTGAGAGGTTTAGCGCTATAAAACCAGGTTCAATCCACCATTTTCTACATTTGAAAATGCCTGTACCAAGTCAGGAATATGACAGTTGTTGTCCATTCGTTTGATGTGTTTTGTCATTTGATTTTGCCATGTGATTAGGGACTTTCCGATTGAATTTTCCTCGGAGTTCAGTATTTTTGTGATTTTACTTTCTGCTACTAAGATTTTTTAAGACGTCACAAGTGTCTGAGCATAAATCTGATGAACCATGGTTAAGTCAAAGAACGTCTCGTCTTACAAAAAGTTCATCAAAAGATATTTAGACCTTGCTGATAGATATTCCATGTATTCAGTGTCAACTTCAAAAATAATACGCGATGGCCTTTATTAACAGATTCTAGGTACTGATGTTGTTAATCATCTTATTTACGTGATCAACTGTTCTCTTTTTTGTCTTTGTAAAATATCATTTTTACTGTTTAGTCTATTTTTGGAAATATCCATTTGACGTGGCTCGGTACTTATACATCCCGTCATTGTTTAAATGTGCTATGGTATTTTGTTTTGTATTCTTGTCTTCAATTTATGGTAATGTGCTATGTCTATATGCCTTTTTGTTTTTCTTTGTTGTCATTTTTTGTTTTTTTAAGTGAATAAGATTATAAAACAATGTTGACTGATGAACCCCTATTGTTGAAGTTTTTACCTTTTTATGTCTGTTTGTTTTGTTTACACAATGTTGTAAATATAATGGAATTTAATGCAACCGCCATACAAGTGGGAGGTTAAGCTAGCTATAAAACCGTGTTAAATCCACCATTTTTAATATTCTTCATTCACATTCTC